GATGAGGAAGCCCTTTCCCAAATAAAAGAGGGAAAAAAAAACTACAATAGAAAATATTGGTAGATTTCGCTACATAAACAAACTTTGTCTATTGTAGTAAAAACAACCACAAAGAAGATTGATTACAAGGCAAATTGAAAACTCTGAAGAAAATACAACAGTCTTAATACCCTTAATATATAAAAGATTCTTATAAATCAATGTATTTATCTTCTAGTTAACAAAAATGTGTTGAATAACTACTATTAGCTAGGTTAATAGCTAATGATGGGGACAGAGCAGTAAACAGCCACTTTCGTGGAACTTGTAGTCTCATGGGAAGAGATAGACATTAAATAAAATAAATAATACCATAAAATATGGAAGATGATAGACAATAAGTGCTCTAGAGGAAAATGAGGGAGAAGTAGGTAGGATAAATGTTTCCAAGAGAGAAGAGATGACAATTTTTAATTGATAGAAGGTCTCCTTGGGAAGACAACATGTAAGCTAAGACCTGAAGGAGGTGAGAGCAAGCCGCAGGGCCATGTGTGTTTCAGGCCGAGGAATGGCTGTGAGATGGGAGCAAGCCCAGTACGTTCAAGAGGAAGCAAAGAGACTAGACAGTCAGGCCACAGTAGAGAGAGTAAGAGAGCAAGTAGCAGGAGATATCAGAGGTACAGCAAGTAAAACTAGATCCATAGTTTGACCATCCATTGTGAGAACTTTGGCTTTTACTATGCAGAAGAAAATGGTCTGAATTATATATTAGCGAGATCATTTTGGGTGTTTAAAAAGAGGAAGTGAGTTGAGAGACTATTTCAAGACTGTTGTAGAAGCAGTGTTTTTTGTTTTTTCTTGTTTTGTTTTTGATTTGCAGGAGTGGGTGAGGGATGGTGATAGTGAAGATCAGCAGCTTGCTTTTGAACATGTTACATTGAATATGCCCAACAGATATCCAAATAGACTTGTTAACAGCCAGATGGACATCCAGAATCTATGGTTCTAGGGAGAGGTATGGGCTAGAGTTCTGACTATGGGAGCTATTGGCCTAAAGACAGTATTGATAGCTAGGAGACTGAGATCAGTGTAGCCAGAAAGAGTAGACATTGAAGAACTAACCTGGAGTCAGTCCAATATTAAAGATTTGGATCAAGAGAAGGAGTCGGGAAAGGAGACTGAGAATTTCGGGCCAATAGGAAGTAAGACGATCAGGTTTAGGCTCCAGAAGTGAAGAGCCCATGGTGTCAAGTATTGCTGACAGGAGAGCAGATGAGGACTGACAAGTGATTATATTTGATGTTCTCATTTATTTAGCCTGTTAGTTGTTCCTCAGTCTCTCAGCACACTCCCTCAGAATACACCCCTCCCTCCTCTCAGCCATTTCCACTTCTTCGCTTCTTTTAACAAAAATCATGTAAGATTTCACCACATGTTCTCGGGATTGATGCAACAAAAAGCACACCTGCTAGTAGTCTAATACAGAAACCACTTTATAAAGAGAGGGGAATAAGAAGGAAAGCAAAGTATGTGAATTTTGATAACTATATGTATTTTTAAAATATTTTTTGTGTTTATTGACTAAACATAAAACTATTCAAATGTACCAGCTATTGAAGAAACACAGATTAAAAATAAACTGGCCAGCATTTTTTTTGGAAATCAAATTGGCATTTAAAAAAAAAAAAAAAAAGCACACACCCGTATGGGCAAGACTCAGCAGACATTCTCATATACAACTGGTGGAAGTGTTAATTGGTAAAACTTTTCCACAGGGCAATTTGGCAATATATAAGAACAATTTTTTTTTAAGTTTCTTCTTCACACCTTTTGGTCCAGTAACTCTGCTTCTAGCAATTTATTGTAAGGAAACAAACAGAATGCACACCAAGATTTCTGTAAGAGGATACTTACTTTAGTATTAATTCCTATAGAATTTAGAATATAGATATCTATAAAATTCTACATTCTTGTAGATATAGAAACAATATTTTAGTCTTATTGCTTATAGAATTTACAGGATTCAAACAGTAATTAAAATAATTTAATATCCAATATTGGTGTTTAAGTCAATAAATTATGAGAGAGCCACATAAATACTCTGTAGCAAAATAATATTTAAGAAATATGAGAACAAGGTACTGTCATATTACAAAAAAAAAGGAAAAAAGCTATAAGATGGGATTTATGGTATGATTCTAATTTTGTAAAGTAAAAGAACAGAAAAATTGGAAAAACATCAACTAAAATCTCAATAGTAATTATTTCTGTATGTGCTTGAGATTATTGATGTTTTTACTTATTCAGAAATATTTACTGAGGGCCTACCTGTGGCAGGCACTGTTCTGGGTGCTTGGAAGACGTTAGTGAAAACTGACAGAATTCTGGCCCTTGCAGTGCTTACATTATATTAGGATACAGAAAATAAACAATAATAAAGGAATAACATATCTTTTAGGAGGTGATAAGAGCTAGAGAAAAAAAAAAACAGCAGAAAAACATGGAATTGGGGAGGGTAATGGCTGTCAATTTAAACAGGATGGTCTAGGAAGGTGGTATTGAGAAGATGGCATTTAATAAAGACTTTAGGGAGGTAAAGGAAATAGCCATGTAAATACTGAGGAATAAGTATTCTAGATAAAAAGATCAGCAAATGCAAAGTCCATAAGATGGGAGCATGTCTGATATGTTTGAAGATCAGCAAATAAGCTTGAGTGGCTGGAACTGATTGAACATGGTAGTCGGAAATGAGGAGCCAAACTGGGTAGAACCCACTGGAAGGTATTGGGAATGTTGGGAACAGACAGGTTAAGAAGCTATTGCAGTAATCGAGATGAGATGATAGTATTGAGATAAAAGGGGAATACTGAGAATTGGTAAGATTCTGGATATATTTTAAAAGTAGAACCAACATAATTTCCTGATGGTTTACATATGGGGTACAAAAAGAGGCCTTCAAGGTTTTGGGATTGATGATTGGGAGGAGAAAGCTGTCAGCAATTGAGGCGGAAAGACTATGAATAGAGCGGGTTTGAGATGGGAGTGGGGGAGATGAGGAGTTTTGGAGATGGTAAGTCTCTCCAAAGGGAGATGTCCAGGAGGGAGCTGGCTATGGAAAAACGTGGAGTCCACAGGACATGTCTGAGCTAGAGAGATACACTTAGGAATCATTAGTGTACAGATAGTATTTGAACTTTGTGAATGGGTAAGCTCACCAAAAGAGTAACTGTGGACAGAGAAGAAGTCCACAGACTGTGTCCTAGGGCATTCCATCATCAAGAGGTTAAGGAGACAAGTAACACCTGGAGGAGGACTGAGAAAGTCACCAGTGAGGCAGGAGGAAAATTTTAAAAATGTGGGGCAAATAAGTATTTCACATTCTGCTCAAATGCTCCTCAAATGCCAGTAGGTTAAATAAGTTGAGAAGTGAGAATTGATCACTTGATTTAGCAATGTGACAGTCAGGGCACTGGTCACCTTGATAAGGGGAGGTTTGGCGGAATATCTTGAAAGAAACTGAAGGGATACTTACAGATGGTTGAGTACAGACAACATTTTTGAGGAATTTTGTTGCAAAGGAAATTAAGAGATGAGTGGTGGTTGACTGGGAAAGTGAGATATAAAAAAGTTTATTTTTTTTCTCTTTAGATAGAATAAATAGCAGCATGTTTATATGCTGACGGGGAACCTAGCCGGTCCACTATGATCATTAATATTCTCAAGGTAATAAGATGGCCGTTGGAAGGTCACATAAGGAATGCCTGGACAACCAACCTCCCCCACTAGTCTGGTCTACTCTGTTATCTAAACTCTTAACTCTCCAACTTCTTCATTGAGTCAGAAGGTCACATTTAAAAGAGAAACATTTAGGTCAGCATGACCTTATAGAACAACAATCATAATTACGGTCTCCCTCACCTCATTGCCCCCCAAACACCAAGAAGCCATTCTCCCCCACTGGAAAGTTCTGTGGCTTGAAGTTTCAGAATTACAAATTTAGCAGAATCCAGGACATGCTATGCCTCTGGTTGGAAGGCCTATTTCGCAAGAAAAAAAGTGAAGAAAAAGAAAAATGTTAGCCTTTTGACCCCACTCCTCATAGAATTTTGTAGCCGAGGAAACCAAAGCACCTCCTATTTGCTGCCCCTTCACCAAGGGATAGAATTACAAAGAGAAAACCCAGAAAATCAACTTTGGATACCTCTATTCGAGGGTTCTGCATACTTCAACCAGAAATCAAAGCTTAAATTTTAGCATCCATCCACATCCATCTGCCAGCACATGCCTGTGCTCTCTCCTACACACCTAACATTCCCACACGGATGATATCCATTCTGTTTCTCCCATCCATGGGTCTAATATCATCATTTTCCTTCCCTCCTTCTCCTTATAAAAACCAGTTCTCAGAAAAAAATGCCAGGTGGTAGGAATTTTCTGTTAGTTCTCATTTGACAAATGAAGATATTAGGTCTCAGAGGGTGAAGTGAACTGCTGAAAAGCCAACAGCCAATTAATAAGAAAACTCCAAAAAAGTTTGATCGACTCATTTACACTGAGCTGTACTGTTTGGTATGTTCTCTGACAGAGGCATGCTCTAAGAGAAGCCATAGCCCTAAACCAAAGGAATGGATGCTGAAAAGTGGAGGGGACGTACAGCAGGCAGGGGGGCGGGGCTAATGTAACTTTACCATCGGGATAGTATTTTGGGTGTTTGATACTGCATATGCAGTTAGCCAATTTGTCTACTTCCATTTTCAATGAGGAGTGATTTTGCCCCCAAGGAGTTTTCAATGAGGAGTGATTTTGCCCCCAAGGGGACATTTAGCAATGTGTGGAGACATTTTGTTGTCACAACTCGGGGGGAAGGCACCATTGGCATCTAGTAGGTACACACCAGGGATACTGGTAAACATCCTATAGTGCAGAGGACAGCCCTTGCCCCAATATATGAACCAAAATGTCAATCATTTTAGAAACCCTGTTTTACTCTGAAAGAAAAGGAAGGGAAAGGACAACATTACCAAAAGTTGGCTCTGGAGTAGTGTTCCATGTAGAGCTGCTCATCAGAAAAGGGGGCCAAGTGGATGTCACTGAATGTCGGGAACATCATTCCTAATGAGCAAAAGACAACAGACCCAAAAGTTGACTCTTACTGTCTTCTGATTGAAGGGTTCACTTACTCGCCACTTGACCCATTCCATTCTTTCATCTATTTCCATTATTACACAACAGGCTAAAATACAATTTTGTCTAAAAGAAAGGATAAGAAAATTAGGCAGAAAATCGGAGGGGATATAAAAAAGAATACCAAAGCATGTCCCAATGCTAAATGATAAAAGCTTGTAGAGTCCTAGCTGAGGCATTCAACCCGGCATTTGTGCCTTCTCAGCTGTTGGCTTTTATCTTTTCTGTATGTCATGTGTTTGGAATTCTGGGCATTCCCTTTATTTATTTATTTTTCTCTTAGTTATTATAAAAACAAGTTAGCTTTGAAAATAATAGACATTCCATCATTCTATCACATTATTTTCTTTCTTAGTCTCTGTCCATGTATAATCATATTGACTATTTTTTAAGTGCTGCTAGAATCTGTACTTACATGCAGGCTCACCATCTTCCATGCTGGATGCCCACACTTGTGTTCTTTTTCCTGACATTAACAGTCACCAGGGGAAAAGCAGATTCTTTGGTGGGCAAACAAACATGTAAATTACCATGCCTGAAGCACGTAGACTTAGTGATCAGCATTATGATTCTTGTCATTTTAGGGAGACTCTTTTTCAGAGCCATTTATTAAACTGAACATGAAAGAAAGATGAATACCCCTATTTCAGAAATGAGGATTGCCTAAAAAACTGGAGATGCTGTCATGAAAATAGTAATAATACCTCAAATTTCTTGATTTTGTTAACTCTGCCATCAAATCTTTTATGGGCTTTCCATGTATTAATTTATTTAATCCTCATAACAATATTAAGTGGGTCAAATTATTACATCCATTTTATAAATGAGAAAACTAAGGAACAGGGAAATTTAAGTGGCTTAACTGCAATCTCAGAGCTAGTAAGTAGAAGGGCAAAATCCAGGAGTGGAATCTCATCAGACAGTCAAGGGCCCCATACTTTAATTCAATGTCTGTTAAAATAGAACAGATTGTTTTATTTAGGGAATTTTCAGAGGTAGTCAGAGAAAAAGCATGATTGTAACATCATTCATATGTCACCATCTAAATCTCAGGTGTTGGTGTCAAAAAAATAATGATTACTCGGTGGTTTTTCAAATTCAAGATAGAAAGATATTAAGCCATCTTATTTTCCCCATAAAGTTAGGAAACTTCAGAAGAAAATATTTTGAGTCTAAGTCTAATAGGAATTCCAAAGATATGAGGTAAAATTGAGGAGAGGAAATCATCCAAGGTAAAATATAAGAAAAATTCCAAGAGTTGAAGAAAATTAGTTTTCTGATTCAACATATTTACTACATGTCCACCACAAGAATTTAAAAAGTTTCACACTAAGAAGACTAGAAATAAAAACAAGATACTAAAAGTGTCCACAGGGAAAAACTGTCATTTTAAAGGAGTCAGAATGACGTTGGACTTTTCAATAATAGCAATGTTGGAAACCAGAAACTAGAAAAAGATGCCTCAAAAATACCGAGTAAAGATTGTTTTCATGTTAAATTCTCTACCCAGCAATATAATACACAGACTCAATACAAAGTAACTTCTTAAGCTCCCTTTCTTCAGAACCTGTTAGAGAATATTTGTGGAAATGATGGTGTAAACCAAGAAAGAGTAAGACACAAGAATGATAAGAGAAAGTCAAAGTATGGTAGTGATGCAATTGCCTGAAAAGCAGCCAGTTCATGTGTGATGGAAGAGGACAGAAGATCACAGGAGGAAGGCTTCCACAGAATAAATACTGAAAGGATCTGTCAGACCCATTAAAGCATGGAAAAAACTAGTCCTGAGTATATAGAAAAATAAGCTAATGAAGAAACAAGGCAGTTAACTCCAGAAAAAGCAAAAGATTACATGTGAAAACACATAATCATATGCACCTACCCTATCACCTGATTCAGCACTGAACAATATTTACATTGTCATAATAATGCAAACACTGATTACTGATTTAACCAAATAATGATCTAGGTCCATATTTCTTTATATTAAATTCTGAGATCCAAAAAGCTCTGCAAAGCAACAGATTTTTGTAAGTTTGCAACATTGTTTGATGGCAAAACTTGACCTGAGCTGATGTGAGTCTATTTATATTCCTTATTTATTTCACTTGGCATCTATATTCATCTTTTGTTGCAGAAATATGTATTTCATTATGGAGTGTTGCCTCAGATCTGAATGGAGGTGTTAAGTAATATATGGTATTTGAGTGTATCGTCTTTCCAAAGTCCTCCAGATTCTGAATTCTGAAACGTATTTGGCCCCTGGGGCTAGGATAAGAGATTGAGGACCTGTATAAATATACTGAGAGGATTGGGGGAGGGAGGGTACATCAAGAAAGGAAAGAGCTGCTACATAGGAGAGCTGACTTCTCAACCGCAGTGTGACAAGAATAACAATATGACAACTTTACATAGAAATATGTAGGTAAATAAATAGAAGAAACAGAGAATAGAGTTGAAAAGGAGAGCCTTTGGGGAGAAGTGTCAGGATGGGAAGAGCTGTGACAGAGGGTTACTATTTTTCATTATAAACCTTTTTATTATTATTTGATGTTGTAAACTATGTCTTATTTTGATGGAAAATAAACATAATTAGGAAAAAATCAATCATCCTTCCCTCAGGAACACACAGGGTAGAAAGCTGATAAAAACAGTATTTATTTCTACTTGTCTAGTTAAAGATACATAGCCCAATGTAAAATTTCATATCCATTTCAAATATCTGGGGAAATATTCAGCTTAGAAAGGCTCAATCAGATGCACATTAATTAACTGTGTGAAATCTTATCATACAAAAGCACCTCACCATTTGAAGAACCAGGAAAAAAGGTATAAAAATTCTTCCTGGGGCGGGGCGGGGCACTAAGGAGGGAACCTGAGATCCTTTACTTTCATCTCCTACAGTTCAATTTTATTGCTTGAACCCAAGGCTTCCAAGGTTATCCTGGGTTGTTTTACAATGGGGACGCTAATGAAGTTCTTGAAATTAGGTATACTTTCCCAAAGTTTATTAGTTTATTTTTGCACGAGTTTTTAAAGTATTTCTGAACCCCTAAATTTAGAAACATGTAGGAAATTACAGATGAGCCTCAATCTTTATATGTACATAATGTGTAACCTGGTGAGTACGAGTTGCACTTTTATTTGCTATTTTGTTTTCATTGGATATCAAGGTGGGGAGCCATAATATTTGGTAATTTAAAGTAAACAAAATTAAGGTAAGAAACTGCAATTCTCATGGGAGATGCAACTGTTAAAATTGGCCAGATACTTTCTACCCCTTAATTGAAAAATTGTGTTTTGGAACGTGTCCACTCTCTCTGGTGAAGAGTGGAAAGTCAGCATGTGTGCAAGAGTTATGAGTGTGGGTCAGACAGATCTGGGGTCAAATCTCTGCTCTGTCACTTATTAGGAGTGTGTCCTTGTTAAGCTGCTGTCACTCATGTGTTCTTCAGTGTTCTCTTCATAAAGTGAGGATCATACTAGTGTGTCCCACTAAGCCAGGTCTCAAACTTGGCACTATTGAGATTTTGGGCTGGGTAACTCTGTGATGTTTGGGGGCTGTCCTGTACACTAAACACATTAGCATACGCAGACATTTGCTAAGTGCAAAAATATATTGGACTTTATATTTTCACCTTGATTATATGCTGATCAAAGG